GGATAATGGGAAGGAACATGGAAACCACTACAATGGGTTGTATGTCACTGTTGTCACTGTCGTCAATTACCATGTTTCTAGCCTTGCCAAAGAGGAGGTACACCACAAAGGGAAATAGCCTCCCCAGTCACTAAGCCCACAGCCCTTGTACAATTTACTGTACTGCCCTGACAGCAGGTTAAGGCACGGCTGTTGGTGATAAACTGGAAGCCTGTTGTTGAGCTTCTGGCTCTGAAAACGACAAACACATTGCTCTTTCCTTACCGTTGCGACCCTTCCACGTCAAAGGAATGCAAGTTTCTCAGACTACCCCCCCCCCCCACCCGGAGTCATTGCTATAGACGGGACGCCGAGAATCGTTGCATGCCATTGAAATCACCAAAAGGGCAAGCACCTTTTGAGAAACCTTCCCACATCTGCGCTCCTCCCAAGGGCATCAGAACCACTCGCTGTTTGGCAGGCGGAACAGCTGCAGCGGCTGCCATCCGGAGTGCTCCAAAGTACCTGGATCCCCAGACAGCCCTCGAATTTGGGACCTTGGATTGGAAGAACAAAAATGCCATCCGTACGTAGCCTGCATGTGGCTCCCCACGCCTTGGACCTCCACATCTACCTAGGTAAGGCTCGAAAGGATGCCTGGTGTAAGCGGCCTTGGGACACAACAACCACGAAAGTACCTGCTTGGAATATTTGAGAGCATGGAGCCGGGGCTTCGGCATGACTGGGGGGCTTTTAATTCAGATCATATAAGCTTTTACCAAGATCATGTGGGTCTCAGGCACATTCTGAGCTATGTGCAACTGGCCCCACCTCAGAAAAGTAAGATGAAGTGCCCACGCCTTTCTGTGGTTTGTCCTCAATAGCTTGGCTGCTATAACAATGCCAGCAGGCGCTACGAATGGTCTCGGGCAGGATCTATCGTGAAGGACCCCGCTTGCAAGATCAAGCATGATGTCAGCGATAGAGGATCATGACAAGCTCTGCAGAGGACATCATGAATTGGTGCCACAATGCTGCCAGACTCCCAAAGCGGGCCCTGGGAGTAAATGCTGTGCCAAACTGCAAGAGAAGACATCCAAATGAAGATCTGTCCGCCTGATGGTTTGATCTATCGAGTCACTGGCATAGTGCAGCGGCTGCAGAGTTCACGGTGCTTGTTGGGAATACATGTTGGTGTTTCTCGAGACATGGCTCTGCTATGCACTCGTCCAGATACTGGAAAAGCTTATCACCTTCCACCAGACCTCCGTTTCTGCTACAAGAACTGCAATCGCAACCCATACTTTGGAGAAACTCCTATTGGGATGGACCTGTGGTTTTGCGAGCCCCCCATACAAAACCACTGCCCAGCATACCTTCACAGAAATCATCAGAAATCCATGTTCATTGTCTTGGGGGGTTCCCAATACACTTGATCAGAGCCTCATTTGGTGACCTTCATTTCAGACATATCATATGA